TGGGGTAAGTGGTGAGTGCAGAGGTGGGCCCGGTCGGAACAGGTAAGTCTCTTTAAGGAATTAGGAAGTTATTTTTAGGACATCAGGAAGGCCCACAGCCTGTGATGTGAGGTGAAGGCATCGCCCTGGTTCTCTTCTGATAAAGAACGTCCTTGTGCAGCCTCAAGGGCTTGTAGTGTTTCAGAGAGATGGTGGTGGCTGGGCAGAGGCAGTGGGGAGGGAGAGGAGAGGTGGGTTTGAGGACCCAAGAATGCTTAGTTTATGCCTTGGCATCACTATAAAACACTCTTCCAGTGTGTGTGTGTGTGTGTGTGTGTGTGTGTGTGTGTGTGTGTGTGTGTAAAATCTGTCTACTAGTCACAACCAACCTTTTGACATTATAACAAATGTCATCAACTAAGTCCACACACCAGAACTGTGAAATCAAGTAGTTACAAAGGAAAAATAATCTCATAAATTGTCATGGCAGTGGCGGCGGCACACACACACACACACACACACACTACACACACACACATACACACATACGGATGCATTTTGCTGGTGGTTGAGAGGTCACTGGTATTTTTCAGCACAAAAGAAATGCAAGATGATTGATAAGAATTCAACATTCAAGAAAAACACCAAGAAAAGCAAAAATATATGGCTATATATATTATATATGTGTACATTTTGATCTACTTCCTTCTATTCTTTCCCTGTTTTAATGTGTGCATATATAATTATGTATAAATGCCTTTATATCGCTTTATGTCTTCTATTACATTTTATTATAATAGTGCATTCAAACAATGAATAAAAATGAGTGTGTTTAAAGACTACCCAATTTTGAATTCAAGCCATCACTAGCTGTAGCTAGAGTTTTCCTGCCTGGCCCACAGTTAGAACAAATCTCTGTCACCCACCAGTCCCACAGCCACTCAGACCCAACCAAGTAAACACAGAGACTTATATTGTTTAAACTGTTTGGCCTAATGGCTCAGGCTTCTAGCTATCTAGTTCTTACATCTTAAATTAATCCATTTCTATAAATGTATACCTTGCCACGTGGCTCGTGGCTTACCGGCGTCTTCACATGCTGCTTGTCATGGCGGCAGCGGCTGGCAGTGTCTCCCTCCTCCTTCCTGTTCTCTCAGTTCTCCTCTCTGTTAGTCCTGCCTATTCTTCCTGCCTGGCCACTGGCCAATCAGTGTTTTATTTATTGACCAATCAGAGCAACACATTTGACATACAGACCATCCCACAGCAACTAGCCAGGTTAAGAAATTGCATTCTGAGGGCTGGAGAGATGGCTCAGAGGTTAAGAGCACTGGCTGCTCTTCCAAAGGTCCTGAGTTCAATTCCCAGCAACCACATGGTGGCTCACAAACATCTGTAATGAGATCTGGTGCCCTCTTCTGGTGTGCAGGCAGAACAGTGTACATAGTAAATAAATAAATACTGCCCCCCTCAAAAAGGAAAAGAAATTGCATTCTTTCCATTTACGTCTGCCTCCCTACCTCCCTAAAGATAGCCAAGAGGGAGGAAGGGCCTTAGCCTTACTAATCCGTATTATCATTTAATTACAGCCAGTGAGAAACATGACCACACTAGCCAACTTTACACAGACACTGGAGGATGTCTTCAAAAGGATTTTTATTACTTACATGGACACCTGGAGGAAGAACACAACAGCCGAGGAACAGGCACTCCAGGCCAAGGTTAATGCCGAGAACTTCTACTATGTCATCCTGTACCTCATGGTGATGATTGGCATGTTCTCCTTCATCGTGGTGGCCATCCTGGTGAGCACAGTGAAGTCGAAGCGGCAGGAGCATTCCCAGGACCCCTACCACCAGTACATAGTGGAGGACTGGCAGGAGAAGTATAAGAGTCAGATCCTGCATCTGGAGGACTCCAGGGCCACCATCCATGAGAACATGGGGGCAACAGGGTTCACGGTGTCGCCCTGATAAATACCAAGGGGACATCTGGCTATGAAGGGGTGCTTCTGCCACCTAGCGAGTCCGACTTGTCCTTGCTCCCAAGAAAGCTAGGTCCTCTCTGTGCTGTAAACCTTCAGAGTGATGGCCTGCCTGGCCAACTGCCCCGGGTGACATTTCAATCTCCGTGGTTTACGTGAGCCCACTGGGGAGACACTGTGTATTGAAGATCTCGTCTCTACTTGCCATGCTGTGTATATGTCATGTAAGTTAGTTTCAATCATGAGAATGGAGCCAAACACGAAGCCGGGGCCTGGGCGGGGCAGTGGGGCAGAAAGCAGAGATTTACAAATCCTCCACCTTCATCCTCATAGGAAATATTAGTCTGAGTGTAGCAAATTCAATTTAGGAATAAGTCATATGTGTTATTCAGAAGCTAAGGCTTAAATCTATCATGGGCTTGCTGAACTGACAGGTGAGCATTTGCTTAACTGATTCATGGGCACAGAGTCCGCGGTGATGAATGGACCGAAGCATGGGGTTATTCTGCACTCACCACTCTCCTGGTGTTTAACTGATCTGGGCGCCTGGACAGAACAAACTTGAAAGAACAAAATAATCCACACCAGAGGCATTAAATATTCAAGAACCACCCAAGGCAACCAAAACGTGTTTTCAATTTTTTAAAGAAACTTCAACTTTAAAAGTTCTCATTACTTAAAAAAATATGGCTCTTCCAGAGGATCTGAGTTCAATTTCCAGCACCCACACAGTGGTTCACAGCTATCTGTAACTCCAGTTCCAGGGGACCTGACACCCTCACCCAGACATACATGAAGGCAAAACACCAATTCATATAAATAAGTAAACAAATTAAAAAGAAAGAAAGAAGTTGGATTCCAGGCCAGAAAAATAAAATTTTTATTTTTAAAAATATGGCATTTCTTCCTAAACATTGTATTTTTTACTTATTTTTAGTTCCTTCTATTTCCAACAGCTTATTTTCACGAATGTTTGACAAGGACTAAAGCTACAGAACATCCACCAGGTGTTTGTTGCAAACTACACAGCAGCTGCTTAATCTTCTGTGCCAAAGTGGGGGGGGGGGCAGATGTTGGTCAAAGGCTACAAATTTTAAAGGGGCCTGGGGGTGCACACCCATAACCCCAACCCTCAGGAGCTAGCTGAGGTGGAAGGAGCTTGCTGAGGTTTAAAGCCATTCAAGATCCATTGTACTGTAAGATCAGTAACAATGCTTTTTGTTCTTAAAAAACTGGTACATGGCGGAGCATGGTGGTACATGCCTTTAATCCCAGCACTCAGGAGGCTGAGGCAGGTGGATCTCTGTGAGTTCAAGGCCAGCCTGGTCTACAGAGTGAGTTACAGGACAGCCAGAGCTACACAGAGAAACCCTGTCTCAAAACAAACAACAAACCAAACAACTGAGCAGTGAGTGGCTGTCAAGTGTCCTTATCTATGTGAGATGCTATATGTTAGTCACTCCACAATGGGTATATGCTTCAAAACATCATGTTGTGTCTGTACATACAATGTAAGCTATCATTAAAAAACATAAGATGAATATTTTGTACCATGGAGTACATGGCATCATCATGCCAGAGCTGAAAGGCACCTTGGAGGTCACCTGTACCCTTCACCTACAGATGAGAAAGCTGCAATCTATCAAGATTAGATCTTTTCTTCATTAATTCAACCATGTGATGTTTATCTACTTGGGTTACAGGCCTGGGACCCTGGATGAGAGGAGAGTAAGACCTCTTGAGCTGCAGGAGCTCACACATTGGGGAGGGAGTCAGCTGAGCATTAGAATGTGAACAAGTCTTAACAGAGATCAGCAGGTAGTGGACACAGCCAGAGCAGAGACATGAGAATCGGGACATGATTCCTGGAAGTAGAAGTCAAGGGCAAATGAGAGACAGGTTGGTCCTTAGCATCATGTGCTTTGTACCCAGGTCTTTCCTCTGTCATGGCCAGGGCACAGCAGTCACAGTTGAAGTGAATCATAAGTGAAGCTTCAAGCCTTGGAGTACAACAAAGACAAGATTCAAAGAAGTCCATTTTTTGTTGTCAGCAGAGACGACCTGACCGGATAATTCGTAGAGGTTTATTTGAGTTCATGATTCTAGAGGCTGGGAAGCCTGAGAGCATGGGTACCAACACCTGCCAGGTTCCTGGTGAAGCCTCACACTGCTTTAATTTGTGGCAGAAAGGCCAAGCTGGAGACCACACACCACACACAAACTCATTATAACAATGTATGCCCTGGTGTTAATCCAGCCTAGTGAGGAAAACTCGCTCCACAAAAGGCCATTCTTCCCTTGGGGGAGGGGGGAGGGAATACTTCTTAAATGCCCCCACATCTCAATATATCGGGGACCAAGTTTTAAGATGAGTTTTGGTGGCCACAAGCCATAAAGCCAGCTATAATGTTTGTCTCTCTAGAGTTGTAGGAGAGATAACAAAGTATTGGCTTCCTACAACATTTTGCATTTAGCTATCAGAGGAACTAACGTGTTAGAAAAAGTCATTCATATTCCAAGAGCAGATTTGTCATGAGTGGCTGCCTTCCTCAGACCAGAAGCCTAAAATTCTAACATACACTGACATCCTAGATAACCTTGACCCAGAGGTCCCAGCCTGGGGCTATACTAGCCAGGGTTTCTACCCTGACAACAGACTTGTCTGTTTTATCCATCCCTAGTCAAGGCCCTCTGAACCATCTTCCTGACGAGGCCCCAACCTTGGCTAGTAAAAAACTGCATACTCTTAAGAGGTCCAAATTATTTCACCAACCTTCATAGCATAAGAGACTTGAACAAACATCAGGGTTTTTGTTGTTGTTGTTGTTGTTTTTTGTTTTTGTTTTTTCCTAAGAGCTCAAAGCTGAGTCCTTGGGGTTATCCCAGCCCCTTAAAGTAGGCAGAGAGGCTACTGGATTCTCTCAGTGCAACTGAGAAAGCTTGCAATTACAAATCCTTTCTCTTTCCCTTTGAGGAGTCATTCTTCTACCATCTAAAACTGTCTCTTAGAAATGCGAACACCAAAACCCTGCAAGAAGAATTCTTCTAGCATCTAGAAATATCTCTTTGAAATGCAAACATAAGACTTTGCTGGGTTGCACCTTGCAGGTCTGAGTCACATACCTGGAAATTTTTTTCTCCTCCAGAGCACGGACCATATGGACCCTCCCTTCCCTGTTCGTAAATTCCCGCTTGGTTTATCTGCTACTCAGGAAAATACACTGGTGACTAAATCCAGGATTTCATTACTAAGCATATTCTACCATCAACACTGGAAAATATAGTTTTAACATGGATTGTAGTCAGTCGGTTATATTTGGGGAGAACAGGAGAAATGCCACATCTTTAGGTAGTAGTTAATATGGTCAGCTTGACAGGATCTAGGCTCCCATAGTTGACAAGCCTCTGGGCATGTCTGTGGGGGATCACCTGGATTGGCTTAAAAGAGAGGGCAAGACATGCTCTAAATGGGCGGCACCATTCCCTGGGCTGGGATTCCAGATGGAGCAAACAGGAGAAGACCAACGAGCACACGCCTCCAGCCCTGCGTGCTTCCCGGCTGGGAGCTCTCCGGCCAGCCTAGACGAAACCCTTCCTTCCCTGAGGGGCTTTTGTCAGGGATTCAGTTCCGTTAACAGTGCAGGTAACTAGCCCATCAGACACGCACGTTGGGTGTCCGGTTGTTGATCCCTCTGCCCCAACCTCCCCCTCCGGTGTCAACTCCCACCAGAGCGAGGCTTTTCAAATGAAAACGCCCATCCCAACAGCCGTTCTTTCTATCCGTTCCCTTTTAGAGTACTTTCTGCTTAGCCTGGTCCTGCGCACCAGATTCGGAGCTCTCTCAAAAGGAGCAGGATTGATCTGATTCTGGTCTCACAAGCCGTGAGGAGCCCCTGTAGTGTCTCGTGATGGCTTACCTCCGAACAAGTCTTTTTTTTTTCTCTTTGTGCTCCCATTTCGTCGTTTGTGAAATGGTTCTAATTATAGTGTGTCCTTTAGGGGCCTCATAGATTTGGACAACAGACTCGAAGTGCCTAGAACAAAGGTTTGTTACTTTCTCTGAAAAAAAAAAAATGCTTCCCTTGTTGGCACAACCAAGTCTGCTTTCGCCTGCACGCTAACACTGTCTACTTCATCTCCACAGAGAAGCATTAGGAGATCTGAAGCTAGACTTCTTGGGTTCAAATATCCACCCTGCCACTGCAGTTGATGCCAGCAGCACGGGGAGGAGATGAGGTGGGGAGCTCGGGTGAGCCCTTTCCCTCCCCACAGCCTTGTCCAGGGCTCGGTGCGCGCCTCCCCACCCAGCACGCCGGTTCAGGAACCACTGGTTAGAACAGAATTTCCTGCAGTTAACCCAAAAGACGATGCAGCCATGTAGTCCCCCCTGGAGGAACGCTAAGTCTGGGGATGAGGGGAACAAAAACAAAAACACACAAACTGGGGGCCCGCTGACCCCAGCTGTAGAAAACAGCAAGTCGACATTCAGCGAATGCAGTCGAGGATGAAGATGCACCGCGGCATGGACCAGGGACCCCAGGCCGCATCACACCTGTGGACCACCCTTAGGGGTCCGCTTTGGATTTCTGCAACGGCCTCATTACCCTGCACGACTTGCCTAATGCCAGGGCGCCTGCGCTTGGAGATACAAGCACCTTGACCCCAGAAGGGATCTAGCAGCGCGTCTCACGGTAGCCTAGACCCATTGCGCCTGCGCATCAAGAGGTGACCTCCACGACTGCGCTTGCGTGCGGAGCGGTGCATTTCGGGAGATGTAGTTTTTCCCTACGGGATTGTGGGAGTCGTGCTTTGTCAGCACCGGGCCAGGAGGCCCAGCCGCCTTGAGTTGTAAGTGTGTGATTGACTCTCTGGGGCGCTGGGGATCCCTCAGCCACCCCGTGTTTGTGCTTCTGCCCCGATGGCTCTTGCTGGCCGCGGCCACACAATGCATGGGAACCCATGCCTTGCTCTGGGGACGAAGGGAGGCAGAGATGGGGCCTCTATTTCGCCCCTTAGTGGAGCGAGTGTGTTGGGGATGGGGGCCAAAACTGGCGACCCGGTTACCCAGGAATAGCAAAGCCCCCTTTGGTCCTGTGGCGCGAAGGATCCCGTTTGCACGGGAGCCAAAGTTGTGCAAATGAGGTGTGCGGTTCCAGCGAGTGGAGAGGTTCACCATGGTTTCTCAGAGGATCCCCCAAAGTACTGAGATTTATAGTTTGGGCCTCCCGGGTTGGGTGGGCGTGGGTTTCCTGAAAACCAAGTCCTGTGCAGAGGGGGCTGAGTGAGGCCCAAGCGTCCCCGGCAACCGAGCCCACCCAGGCTTTAAATGGTTGTTGAGTGAGCAGTTGAAGAGAAAGGGGTAGAGACTGAGTGAGAACAGCGTCAGGAAGCTCCCACGGCTGCTCAGGTGAGGAGCCTGTGGGTTACATGCTGAGATAGGCGTGCCCTTGACTTCGTCAGGCCTGCCAAGAAGCAAATGCGAGCACTATATTGCCCATGTTGTTTTAATTGGCCTAATCAAAATGAGTGCATAGCTTTTTTGTTTCTAGAAAAACAACAACAACAAAACCTAGTAAACCGGGGGGTGTGTGGGGGGAGATACTTTGCAACAGAGATCAAAACTACTAGCAGTTTTATCTAAGCCATTCTGTTATTGTTGAGGGTTAAGCTAAGCCTGCCTGGGTCCCAGGGTTTCGGATATTTTAGTGCTCTCCAGCTGTCCCCACCGTGGTGGTTTCGTTCCATCCCTCTGATGGCAGCTGCCCCGTGTTTCCGTGCGGGATCGGGAGTACACGGTATCAAAGCCGACAGCTCACTGTTGCATTTAGCCTTCTTGGTTGTCTCGTTTGCAGAAGGCTTGCAAGCTGCCGCGAGAATGTCTGCTTTGGCGCCTGTCATTTAAAGCAGTGGGTGACCTGGGCCGTTTGCTCTCTTCTCTTCATCCAGTCCACGCTGTGACCACTACAGATTCCCTTTTTCCTTTACTCCTTCCTCTTTCCTCTCCTCTCTTTCCTCTTCTCCTTTGGCAGGATCCCCTGAATCCGAGACTGGGAGAACTCTTTCTCTAGCCTTAGATGACCTTGAACTCTGATCCTCCTGCCTCTAACTCCCAATGCTAGGACTAGAGGTATGAACCATGCCTGGTTTATGAGTTATTGGTGTTGAACCTAGAGCTGTGTGCATGCTAGGTCAGCACTCTGTGGCCGAGCCACACCAGCCCTGTTTCCTTCTGGGAGACTTTACCTTTTAACCTTCTAATTGCCAGGCGGTTTACCATAGGTTCTCTTGACATCAGCTCCAGAGTGGGAGACTCACTCTTTCGACCCTGATATTACAAAAGGCTCAGGAGGTTAATGGCTTTCCCAGGTCATATGCCCAGCCGTTAGTGCCACCTGGAGTAGAGTCCTGACCTTCTCCCTGCCCTTACTCTTTATCCCGTGCCTGGCTGTCCTGACCTGACCACATCCTGCCCTGGTGCTGTGTGTTATCTGGAGAACCATTAGCAAATGGAGATTATCAAAACAGTAATACTTGACATTGATTTAGTGTTTTCTGTGTGTTACTCGTGGTTCTTCGGGATTACTGGCCAACTTCTGAAGGAGAATTTACTGATGAAGGAGGCTTGAGAAGCCGAGTACCCTGACCCAGGTCACATTGCTACTAAGTGTATTGTGTTTGCCAGACTTCCAGACCCCTGGGGATTGTTTTTCATTTATTTCCTCTTGTAAGCTTCGTGGGCCTATTTGTTTTCCTTGACCTAAGCCTGTGCACATCAGTCCACATAGGTAATTTGTGGGAAAGAGTTAATCGCTGACTATATATGTATACAACTCAATTAAGAAGGAATTATACAAATAAAATGGAAAAGAACTTAAATATTTCGTTTTAATATACAGCACAGCTAATCCCTAAAATTCCTAGAGATTCACAGTATAAATTCTGGCAACAGGTTGCCCAGAACCCGTTTTTTTCCCACTGTAGGTCAGACTCTGCTGCTCCTTAACGGCGAATGCGTGAAGGTAGTGAGCACCTTCAGCCACGGCTATCACATTTAAACAGAGCTTTGAATTAGACCTTACGGTTTATCTGACTTTGCACAAGCCAAGAGGAAAACGTGGTTATCTTGTGCCAATAGCTAGCTGGTTTTCACGGTCTATAACCTTGAATAGATTGAGGTCTGAATTTTATATATTAAATACTTTTGTAATTGAAAATTTTTTTCTAAACCATCTCCCATGAGGTTTACCTAAGGAAGCCTGTTCAAAAGGCCTGTGAAATTTCCTGTTGCTTTTCTATTTCCGATCCAAGTTCATGTGAAGGAAAGTACCCCTGCCCCATGATTGGGAAACTCTCTGCCTGTGTCCGGGTGGCCTGCTGAAGAGTTTCGGATCTGACTGACTGAATTTATTGCAGGCAAGGGAAGGGAAACCTGAGAGCCAGTTTGGCTGGGGCTACACACTCTGCTCTCTCAACAAAACTAGCAGGGGTCCCCCCTCCCCCCATAGGGAGCTGCATGCACTTCACTTTGTTTGTTTGTTTGTTTGTTGTTGTTTTTTCGAGACAGGGTTTCACTGTGTAGCTTTGCACCTTTCCTGGAACTCACTCTGTAGCCCAGGTGGGTCTTGAACTCACAGAGATCCACCTGCCTCTGCCTCCCGAGTGCTGGGATTAAAGGTGTGCGCCACCACCGCCCGGCTCCACACTTCACTTTAAACAGAGGCTTATGGACACTCCAAACTGTAGCTTCCTAGCAAGCCTCAGAAACTCCTGTTTGGTGACCAAACATATCCTGAAACTGGAGAACATGGCCAGATCCAACATATACTGGTTTTTGGTGCATGCACAGTAAGGCGAACTATGACCTCAAAATGAACATTTGGGGGGAAAAATCCCTATTTGCCCTCTTTTGGCAATGCCTAATTGGGTGCATATAGGATTAAAATCAAATGCATTGTGTGTGTGAAAGGATGTGAACTAAAGCTTACATAACCCAAGCTTATCAATTAGAACCAAAAAAAAACCACCTATACCTTGCCCCTAGCAATCAGCTCCCACCCCCTCCTGCACCCACAAAAGGAGGCCATGGGCAGTGACCAGTTGCTCTTGTCCACTTCAGCTCAGGTAGTCCATTGGCCTCTTGTAGAGCATCTGGACTGTACTATGCTTCTGGATAAAGTTCCTCATCACTTTTCTATCTGTGTGCTTTTTAGTAAGAGGCCAAGAACCTGGAGACACCCATTTGAGACAGAGACCTCCGGTACCAGATGGGTTCAGATTCCAGTCACACCCAGAAGAGCTGCGGGCGTTACTTAAACCTTATTTCTTCTCCCTTTAAAGTCGACATAGTACATTATAGGCTAGTTGACTTAAGAGCCAAGCTGCCGATAACCTGCTATAAAGTCAAGTTCAGAAATAGTAGGGCCATCTGGCTGGCACAGTGTGCAGGCTCTTAAGCAGACCTCAAGTGTTCTGGCTGTGGGGCAGGCGTCCTATCCTAAGAACGAGACGGGCGGCCCTGGAGAACGTCTGTTCTCTAGCCGCCTCTGCACGGTCACATGCTGTATACCGCCTTCACTCTACAGAAGGATTTTATGTATACATTAGCTGTTTTGTTAGGACAGGTTTTCTCTCTCATTCATTCTTTCCCTCTAGATAATTTTTTTTTTAAGCCAGGATGCGCACAGGTGACACTCGCAAGGACCTTCACCAGCTTGCCTTTGAGTCAGGAGATGGAGGGGGGCACTTGTGAGTGTGGGCATTAGGTGCACAGAGGAACGGAATGGGGACAGATGTCTCAGGAGCAGCACTGTGCAGGAAGTCTGGAGAGCAGCCCGGAAGAGCTCTGGGTCATCTCACCACTGCTCACGCGCCCGTCTCTGTCAAAGGTGAGGCTTCCTAAGCCTTGAAGCTCTAGATCAACGTGTTTCTTCTTCTCTCTCTTTTCCCCAGGTCAGAGCTTCCAGCTGCCTCTCATGCTGGCATCTACGAGTTGCATTGGTCAGAAGTGAACTCACAGCTGGCCCACCATGAACTGGAAGGTGAGAGTAGTTTTAAAATGCAGAGTTTTTGTTTGTTTTGTTTCTGTCTTTCCACATGCATCAGAACACTAGTGGAACACCTGAGTTGATCAGCTGGTTGATTTGCAGCTCACGGGGTCTGGAAATCCCAGCCTTGCTGTGGACCGACCTCTGGTGGGGTAACAGATGGCATGGGCAGAGATAGAAAGACTTGTTACTCCCGGGACCAGTAAGCAGGGTGGACGAAGAAACCAGAGTCCCACAGCCCCTCTGCAGACAGTAACCTGGGACCTCCCCTAAAGCCTCTCCCTGAAGGTTCACTGCACTTGGAACAAGCCTTTAACACATGCTACAATAACAGCATTCATGATGGTAAAAAAAATAATAATAACAGTAACAGTGCTGTACCAGATTTAGTATTTGTTAAATCTGTTCTTCAACAATTTCGTGAACGGGTATGACACACCCACTCCCAGCTTGCCTTATCTCTTTCCAATCCTGTCAGCTTGCTTCCCTCCTCCCAGATCCCATGGTCACATCCATGTCTTTTTCTTTTGTTTGGTGGCTTACTGAGTTTTACCGGGGCTGTCTGTCACCGTGGGTTTGGAGCCCGGGGGAGTGAAGCATT